CTCTTTGATCATGATGAATCCTTTCTTCTCATTCATCTCTAAGAAACGCTCCTCATGCAGTTTGGAATTAAAATCTTCGACTGTTTCGAAGGTGAATGGTTGAGCAAGCGCCAGATTCTGCAATGCTCGGCCAGCCTGAGATACGAATGTTACAAATTCATGTTGATCTCCAGGGATTACTTCGAGATGTCCATCTCGATTCCACATAAATAACTTTTGATGAGCTGTCGAAGGCACAGCTCCTACTCCATGAATCCACTCTCTGCCAAGTAATGCATTGAAATTGGCATGCGACTGGACCACAACAAACACAGTAGGTCTCGAGTAAGTGCCCACTTTCACGTCTAAAGCGATCATACCTTCTGAACTTGACGTCTTTCCGCTGAAATCGGAAATCATAATGTTGTGCTTGACTAAGTCTTTTAGCTCAATACCAAATTTCTTTAGCATAGTAATTGGCAGTATATTCACTGCTGCTCCACCATCGACAAGGACTCTATTCACCATCTGTCCTTGAATCTCGATGTTTAGTAATAATGGTTTCAAGTGGAACCTCATTTCCTCGGATGGGGGATCGATGAAAGCGGCGTCTCTATGAGGAACTTCACATGAGGTTTGTGTTACCCATGTTATTTTAGGCCTTATGTTTTCTGAATAGAAGTCGCTTTCCCGCTCGGCATCTATTTGTTCTTGATACTCTTTGTATTCGCTCACATATTCCGCAGGTAAAATTGATATTACCCCGATTTGATGTTCGTCCCAAGTACTATCATCCTTGTCATCGAGAAATTCTCTTGTATAATGACTCTCTATAGGTGCAACATTTTCTTCAAAGTTTCTGTAATTATTCCAATAGGGGATCCTTCCTCCTCTTCTCCAGGGCCTTCCTCGGAATCTTCTTTGGAATGCTGGGAATCTAGTGATCGACCTATCGTCATACGAGAGTCTTTCAAAAACATCGTTACTTTGAAGTCTACCTCTTCCTCCTCGAGAAGGATACATCTCTCTTCTAATCCACTGCCTCTGATTTTCACTAACACCAGAGCCAACGGATTTCTGCTGACTTTCTTCGATAGTTGGTCGGACTGTTTGATCTATTTTGTCATTTTTCCTTTTATTTTGGTTCTCGATCTTCTTCATCTGTTCTGTTCTGAAAGCGTTGGCAGCCGATTTATCGAACACTGCACTGCATCTTGGGCATAATGACACATCTTCGTCTTTTTCCTTCTTTCTATTCAAAAATTCAATGAGAGAATCTCCTGATCGAGGGTATATTTCCTTTTCGAACTCTTTCTCGAATTCACTCAGGTCAAATTCCATATCTTCCTCAGATACATCCATCTTGACATGCTTAGGATCGATGTCTTCAGTGACATCTACCATGCCTATGAAGGCTGAATGTGTTAATCGGACATCATCAGTAATGCCTGTTTGGGATTCGAGGTATCCTACTTGAGCCTCGAATGGACTCGTATCAACTTTCATTGTCATTTCTTTGAACTTCAACCTTCCTTGGTCGATCGCATCTTGGATGGTGTTCCTGAAATGTATACAATTGTTAGTCCAATGTCCATAAATATTATGAAATTTGCAATATTTTCGACCATTCCTTTGTTCTGCAGACGGCAGTTTATGACCATCACTCAACTTAATCTGTTTGTCTTTTAATAAAATATCAAAGATTTTGTCTGCTTTTGTCACATCAAAAGTATATGTTCGATTTGTCATTTTATCTTTTACTTCATTCTTTTGTAGCAATTTACAGGTATATGGAACCCCCACTTTGAGTTCTGCTAAGTTTACTTTCTCATCGACAGTTTCTTCAATATCATTTTCTGTCATATTATCTGTCTCATACATCATTTATGTATGCTATTCTTTCCTTTTTTAGAGGTTTCTCATATTTGTTATACCTTTGTTTCTCATACTCGATTTGTTCTACTCTTCTCACTTTATCGCCTAATTGAGCCATGTCATTCAATGGTAAATTGACTAGTTTTTTCCTAATCGAGAATTCTAAACCTCGCGAAGCCATTCTGACTAATTCATATTCGGGAATTTGAGTGAAACATCTCGATTTCATTTGTCTAAATCGATTCAAATAATCATCTATGCTTTCATGATTGTATCTTTTTATATTCATCAAGTCGATGAGACTCACTTGAGTTTCTCCTCTGAAGAACTGTTCATGAAAATTTCTTTCCAATTGTAGCCAATTATATATCGAATTGGGTGGCAATGACGTGAACCAAGTAAAAGCATTCTTAGTCAAAGAACTTGGGAAATATTTCATTTTCAATTCCTCACTCATCGCTAGGTCTCCACATTCGATCTGATATCGAGTTACATGCTCGATAGTCGATTCACCAACTTCTCCAAGCAAATTTAGTGAATTTGGGTACTTTATACCCTCGAGGCAATTCTGTCTCGAGAATCGCATTCGAAAGGGAGACACAAAATATGTCCGATTAGGTGGTCTAAATTCCATCCCTTGTAAATTCATCCTTTGTCCCAATATATTATTCTGATTGTGTATATTTTGAAATCCTTCGTTCAAATTCCCATAAATATCATTCCTCACATGTTGATACTCATGTCCCATACGCTTCTGTTGATCATTGTTTCTATTTCTTCTCAATAGATATGGGGGATTAATATTAGTATTTTGGTTAGCATGATTTTCTATCCTCGTTTGTCGAGGCACGCCCAATGCATCCCCAATTCGTGACATTTGGTCTCGCTAATATCTCAAAGCTAGCAGTAGTGTTTTGCACTAATGGATTTAAGACTCGTAGTTAATTGTTGTGATAACATATTCACCATTTCAAAATTACTCTCATCCATTTGTTGTCTAAGTACCCCTAACGAATTACTAGATATTCCGGTACCCATATTTTCGATAGAATCAAAATTAGATCGATGATAGTCTCTATCGAATACATGTCTCCCATGATCTAAGTATCCCCTCCGATCTAGATTTGGAGGTATCTCGTTGTGTGCCTACATTCTGTCCATTCCCGTATTCTCGAGGAATTACTAAATTTTGCGACGTCCCTAAATTCGGAGGGATTCCAAAATTTTGTGGCATACCTAGTGTTTGGGACATTCCTAAAGTATACCTCGAATTCCTATGCATTGAAGAAGTTCCGGTCCCACTCACATTATTAAGTGAAAACCCAGGCGGTCTTACACTCATACGTGGCCCTACATATGTAGTTGTGGGATTTCCTATAGTTTGCATATTATTTGGTATCACTGTACTAGATCCTACTTGGGTGTTTGCTAATGTACTCGAATTTTGTTCACTACTCACGAGTATCGACATGCTCACAGTTGTCGATATTACAGGTATGTTATCATTATGACTTTGCCCCCCAGTATTTGGTGGGTGTGACCCATTTAATCCCTCACTGTTACTTTGATTATTTGATGAACTCTGACTCATGACTCTTCCACTCCTTAATCTCATACAATCTCGAACTAACCAATATTGTGTTTTTCAACACAAGATTCCCCTACCTGGCGCGCCAATTTGTTTCTGGCGGAATTTTGATCGATTTCGATTCTAAGGGTGTTTCGGTCCTAATCAAAAATCTACCACGTAAGTTCTTTTTGCTTAGGCTAGCAATTTGATTTTCAATCGAGTTTGTGTATGAGAATCGAAAAATCATAAGATATCAAGAAAACTGTTTTTGGTGTTTTATCTTTAAAGTATCGAAAACAATAAAGTGTCGAATCGAAAAAGCAGAATATTAAATTGCGAGGAAACGTAAAGTGCGAAAACCCTAAACTTGCATTAATTGTAAATAACAAGGAATCGAAAAATAGTGCAAATATAAATGGCAGGAACTCGAAATGTGCAGGAAATGTAAATGACAATAAATCGAAAATGCAGAAACTTAAACTTTCATTGAATTGAAATGGACAAGGAATTGAAAATACAGAAACATAAAATTGCTGAATTTAAGTTGCTCGAAAGTAAATTACCAAGGAAAATAAAGAAAGCGATAAATGTACTCCGTGAGCAGGGAAATCCAGACCGCCAGAAGCTTCATGGTGTTCGTCGTTTCTCCGGTAAACTTTTCACTACTGATTCTGTGCTCTGCCAATTTTTGCTCCCTCGTTCCTTCCTCTTTTGCACTATTTATAGGGCATCATTCAAGCCTTCCAGGAGCAGTTACCAAGACTGATACCACGTCCTACGTGCATAAGGCAGTTCCTCTTTTACGGTTTCCCATGTTCTCACGATCTTCGACTCTTCCATAACTTAGAAACTGCTTTCCATACGTGCGTTTTGATTATTTCCCTTCAAGGTTTAGCCGGGGTTTCGATGTCTACGTAGACGATCTTTCCCTTCGATTTTGACTTATTCGAGAACTTTGCATACCTGGCATCGATTCATTTTAACCTTAACTTCATATACTTCAAAGTTGTTCCATGTTAAGCCTTCGACTATTACTCCTACCCTTCTGATTCTACCTTTCGATTTCTTTATAATTGGACATCGAAAAAGTTATCATACGCTTTGTTCGTTTATCGATCATATTTCTCGATTTCATACTAACAATAAGTAAATGATTTTGTTTTCTAGATAAACCGTTCAAGTTTTGGTAAGTAGTATTAGATCCTCATATAAATCTCTATACTATTTAATAAACAAATGTTAAATAAAGAAAAAACATAAAATGTATTCAATTTATTAGAACATAAAAAATATATTTAATATTTATATTATTTTTTAGAATGTCCCAAACTGAACTCCGATTGAAGGAAAAGGAACCTTCGTTGATTCCACAACTGCGTCAATTTTCTTCTCTCTGTCCACGGATTCTAGAAAGAAAGTGAGAAACATCGTGGTATTAACGTTAACGAACGAACAATATCATATTTTAATACTTAAAATCCAACTATATATCTCCTTCTCAGCGTTTCACCTTCAACATTTCCAAAACACTCCTTCTCTCTCTTTTTTTTCTGCATTGTTCACTGTGGTTTACAGTATGAAACGCTCCGAATTTGAGTTCCCCGCAACCATTTCTTCCAGTGATGTGGCCGACGACGTCGTTTTCTGCGGCAAAGTCATAACACGCCGAACCGAACCCGGTCCAGCTCCGCAACGCGATAGCGAAACACGGGTTTTGTTGAGGTCCGAGTCTTCGGGTCGGACCAACCGCTTCTCTGCGTTTCTCCGGTCGCCTTCCGGGAGGGAATTCCGGTGCCGGAGAAGCGAGAGCTGCCGGAAACGTTACAACGGAATGTTTGGGACGGTGAAGTTTCCGCTGCAAATGGAACTGAGTGACATTAAGACAAGACGGGAGCGGAGGGAAGCTCTTCCGCCACCCCCGCCGGTGTTAACGGCGAAGGACGACGGCGACGGTAGAGAAAGTTGCTGGGAACTTGTTCGGCCGTTGAGGCGACGGGGAATGCTTAAGAACGCTTTATTTACTTGCCTTCCCATTGTTTAGTTTAGGATTTTTTTTTTCTCATTCTTTTTTTTTTTGTTTTCAAATTTCTTTCTCTCTCAAATTAATTATATATATAAATATATATTATAGTGTCAGATCACCCAACTCATATATTAGTTTGATATCTCTCCTTAAAAAATATAATGAAAATTTCTACAAAAATTAGAGCCATTATCTAGAAAATGTCTAAGATAATCACTGACCCGATAAAAGATAACTCGGGATACACAAATGAGAAAGAGTCATAGCGTTAGAAGAGGATAAAGGAGAACAATCTCTGGTATGGCTGATGGGAGAGACTTATCATAGAAAGCAAGATTTGACATCGTTTATGGGACGATCAAAAGAGATAACTTTACCACGTGTTTAAACTTTCAATTCATGGGTGATGATAATCTCTTTACAGATGAAGATAAAACTTATACTTGCGGAGATGGATTTATTTTGTGTCAAATTTGATGAAAAAAATAGTTTATTGGGAAATAAGGTAAATTCAAGTTTTTTCTATTTTAAAAAGTTGAAGTTGGGTGTGAATGGATAATACAATTTGTAGTCAAATTTTTATCTTTTTCGTCTTTTTCCATCTCTATCATACTTTAAATTTAAATTTTAAAAGATTAAATAATTATAACTTTTAAAAGATTAAAAAGAATTGATAATTATATTTTAAAAGATTAAAAAGAATTAATAATTAAAATTTTTATCATTTTGATTTATTTAAATAATAATTAACTTATCAATTTTTTTTTCATAAACTATATATTTTATATTTATAAATATTTTAAAATGATAAATTGAAAATAAATAACTTATATATGTAATAAAATATTTTACCTAATATTTAAATATAAATATAATCAATTAAAGTTTATACTTAATTAATAATAATAATTATAAATTATAAATATTTATTTTTGTATAAAAAATATATTAAAATTATTTTATTATATAATTATTATTTAGAAATAATGTAGAATGAGGATGAGTCAAGGACGAGGAAATCCGAAACTCAATGAGAATGAGATAGAGACTTAATTTTTAACCTCGATAGGGATCGAGAGTAGAACAAGGATAGTTAAAAACTTTGAGGACGGGGTCGAGGAGGAAAAACTCATCCTGCCTCGCCCTGTTGTCATGCCTAAACCTCATGATCTAATGAATAATGTATATGATGGAATATTTACAAAAACAACACGAGGAAGCCAATTAAGAGCCAAGAGGGAGCAACATTTGTTGTGTCAAAATAATGAAGAACTTTAGCCAAACCTACATTGCAGGACGAGGGGAAGTGGCAAATCCACCCTCAACAACACATGAATATCAACTGTTCTCCTTCACCATCAAGAGCAAACCCGTTCCACCCCACTAACTTGTGCTAAAGATACATCCTTTCAATGACATGAGCGACCCAACAACCCACTTGAAAACCTTGAGGGCACAAATATTAATTAATGGTGGGATAGATGGGAGTGGGCAACCTCACTACGACAATACTAGATTGGTTAAACGGTTTACCAAACGAGGTCATAACATCGTTTGACAAATTGTCAAAGATGTTTATGGTGCAGTTTGCGATGAACAAACTTAAGTCACCTAGACTGAGCGACTTATTTGACGTAAAGCACTAGAACATTGAGTCGCTAAAGGAGTATTTGCAGCATTTTTGCAAGATAATGTAAGAGAATCCTAACTTGATGAAGCATGTTCATTGACGCATTCGTGAAGGGTTTATGGTCCGGCCCTTGCGGAGAGTCACTAATACAATGACCACCTACCGATATGTCAAAGATCAGGTCTCGCACAAGATCTCACATAGAAGTGGAGGAGGTTATGAGTCGGAAGAGGGAAGAAGAAAGAAGGACAAACTCCCATAAAAAATCTCAGGAGGATGGATGGAGGAGGAGCAATAGGCATTGAGACATCAGCCGAAGGTATCATGACCCTTACGCTCGACATAAGGAGGGAAATCAATGTCTGCCCAGGGATGTGCAAATTCCTTCAAACATGATGAACATACAATTTTTAAAGGACGTCAACATTGCAAAGCTTTTCACGTATCCCAGGAAAGCTAATAGATAATTGAGCCTAAATCGGGACTCGTGATGTGAGTTCCACAGAGCATGGGGACACAACATGAAACAATGTTACGCACTCATACAACAGATCGAGGAGCTGATCCGACAAGGATGCTTACGACGTTATGACAAAAAGGAAAGGGATGAGTGCCCGAGACAAACCACACAACGACGCAAAGACGAACATGAGACACCGATATTAGGTGATTTCAGCACAATAACAAGGGGATTCACCAACAAAGGAAACATGAGTTCCATTAGAAGACAATACTTGAGGGCATCTGCCAATGTGTTTCAGGTGTCGTAGGCAACTGGACATGGGGGTCCTGGCGAACACTCTATGACCTTTCGATGGGGTGCTAGTCGAATTTGTGGTGGGATCAAGTGGAGGTTTGTGGTTACGCAAAGTTGTGAACAACCTTCAGATCTGGTGAGACAACAAAATCTATTACTTTGAGGTATTTGGTCATGAATGCATCATTGTCATATAACATTCTTTTGAGTCGACCTTCATTGAATCGCTTAGGGGCAATCGTCTCCATGATACATTTGAAAGTCAAGTACCCAAATGGTAACAAACAAGTCAGAACACTAGGTGTCAACCAACGAATGACACGACAGTGTTATGAGAACAACTTGCATAACACGTTTCACCTTACCCATGGCAGCGAAAGAGAGGCACTGCCAGACATAAACCCTCGAGTTAGGGTAGACGATCGTTAACCTCAACTCGACAAAAAGTTGAAAGAGGTATCCCTAACAGATAACAAGAAGGTAAAGATTAGAGGAAGTCTAGGTCCCAAGCTAGAGTGAGAGCTATTCAAAATGCTCCAAGCGAAAACTCAGGTATTTGCTTGGTCGACACATGACATCCTGGACATCGACCTTGATTTCCTATTTCACAAATTGACCATCGACCCAAACGTAAAGCCAATGATGCAACAATAAATAATGTTTAAGATTGAGAAATGACAAGCAATCAAAGTTGGGACCCAAAAACTTCTTAATGTAAGCCATATACGAGAAATACAATACCCAACGTAGCTATCTAACATGGTAATGGTGAAAAAGTCATTAAAAAAATGGTAAATATGCACAAACTTCATCGAACTTAATAAAGTGTGCCCAAATGACTCATACCCTCTCCCCAATATAGACAACCTGGTGGATGAAGCATCTAGTTATCATTTGTTGAGCTTCATGGATGTCTTCTCTAGCTACAACCAAATATTCATGCACCCCCTAAACAAGGACAAAATGGCCTTCATGGCTGAAGCAAAGAATTATTGTTATTGGGTGATGGCGTTTAGCCTTAAGAACACGGGGTTGATGTACCAACGACTGATGGAGAAGATTCTCCAACCGTTACTCAGTAGCAATGTGGAAGCATACATTGACAATATCGTAGTTAAGTTGGTAATAAATCGTGATCATCTCGACAACTTGGTTGAGCTCTTTAAAAAGGAGACGAACAACTTCCAAAACACATCAAGAGACTCCATGAGGTTCATAACGTGTTATAAAGAGATTATTGATTGAGATTCGAGACACGATCATGCCACAAGAAATCCTTAATTGATATTCGATGCATGAACCTATCATAGCCGACAATAGACCTCATGAGGTTTGTTGCATACCATAAAGAGATTCTTGATTGAGATTCGAGGCATGATCATGTTATAAGAAGTCCTTGATTGAGATCCAAGACATGGCCCATAGCATAGCTGGCAAGAGACCACACAAGGTCCAAAATGTTCCATAAAGAGATCCTTGATTGAGATCTAAAACATGACTATTCCACAAAAGATCATTGATTGAGATCCGATACAAGACCCACAACATATGTCTTGGTGATTGATCTTGGCAACATATTTTGATTCTTGTAAAATGAACTTTTCCCTAACTAACTTAGAAATTTTATCACTCAAATATTCGACTTTAGCTTGATGATTCTCATTTAGTGTATCATGGGAAATTTTTAATTCATCAGGTCGGTCTCGACCTTTTTCAGCTTTTGTTCAATTTCAACGTAAGCTTTATTAAGAGCCTCCAATTCTTCTCGGTAATGAGAAGCTTGTCGATGAGCTTTCTCCTTCTCGTCCACAACAAAAAAAGTCTATTGAGCTTTTTTCTTTGCACTCAAGACTAAACAAGTTAACCTTGTAGGCCAAAGCTTATATTCCCTAAACAAGATCTAAATTGGTCATCCCGTCCAAATTAACACAATTAGGCATAGCCTCTCTTGATCTCCACCATCATGGCTTGACCATTTGATTGCTTAGGTGTCACAATCATGTTTAATGGCTCAATATGGATGGCTTTTATCTTTCGAGCTAAGGCATGGTCAATTTTGGTGCTCTTGGGCCTCAAATGCATATCCTCGACACATACTAGAACTGAGTTGCCAACCACCACAATATTTGAAGATGATTGTTTCTATTGAAGATCAATACTATCAATTAGAATAATTCAATTATGATAAAATTTAATGATAATATAATCAATTTTATTTCGTTATTTATGCACATTTATGTACAATATTTATAGGAAGAATATTTTCCTAATTTTAAGGGATAGATTAGTGTATAGGTTTATTACCTTATATTTTATTTATACCTCATTTGTATTTTTTCCAAAATAAGAAATACACAACATATTTTCCGCATGGTATTAGAGCTCGATTCCTAACCTAGCACAACCAACCATGGAAAAAAACAAGGCAGGAGGTTCGACCACCAATTTGGTCGAAGGACCTACTCTTCCTATCACTAGTCACAAATTGAATGGTCAAAATTATCCTCAATGGGTGCGTTCAGTTAAAATATTCCTTCAAGGAAAAGGGAAGGAAGGTTATTACATCATTGGAGACTCCAAGTGTCCAGTAGAGGGTGACCCTTACCTTAACAAATGGTTACTAGAAAACAGTTTAGTCATGTCATGGTTACTCAACACCATGACTAATGAAATTGGGGAGAATTTCATGTACTATTACATTTCCAAGGAGATGTGAAATGCAATGAAGGAAACCTACTCAAATGTGGACAATACGTCTGCGGTATTTGAGATCAAGTGCATACTCTATAAACTGCGACAAGGTGATTTCTCAGTCACTGAGTATTTTAATACACTCAGCCTACATTAGCAGCAACTAGATATATATGAAGACGTTCAATGGAGTTGTGTCGAGGATAAAGAATTGCTGGAGAAAGATAGGATCTACAAGTTTCTATTGGGGCTGAACACAAAACTTGATAAAGTCCGAGGGAGAATCCTTGGAACCAAACCTCTTAAAACAATCCTGGAAGTATTTTCGGAAGTGAGAAAGGAAGAAAACAGGAGGAATTTGCATATAAACTTCTTCTAGTTCACCGTTTAGGAAGACATTCTTGATGTCTAGTTGATAAAGTGACCAATCTAAATTTGCAGCTAAAGATAGTATAACTCAGATTGAATTGAGTTTGGCCACTGGTGCAAACGTCTCTTCGTAGTCCACTCCATATGATTGGGTAAATCCTTTTACCACCAGTTGGACTTTGTACCGGTTTATACTACCATCTGTATTGTATTTGATGGAGAATATTCACTTGCATCCAATCGATTTCTTCCTTTTTGGTAGGCTGGTGCCCATTCAAGGCATGGACTTCTTCTATTACAGCTGCTGCCCATTCAAGTTGTTGGAGTGTTTCTTGAACATTTCTTGGGATATGTATGCTGTCAAGAGTTGCCACAAATGACCTATAACCCTATAACAACTTTTCATAGGACATAATTCCCAATGGGGTGTTGAGTGCAAGACCTCACCCCCTTTTCTTAATGTAATAGGAATGTCAATGTCATCAATATGTTCAGGATTAGAAACAATATTACCTAGGAAAAACTCATTTTTGGAGCTTGGTTTGATTCATGACTTTGCCTTGGAGCTGTACTAGACTTTACTTTCTTTCTTTCAGGTGCAGTCTCGACTGACTCTGCATTTTCTATTGTAGTTTCTTCTGTTGCAGGTGCAATCTTGACTGGTTCTGCATTTGGGGCAGAGTGAGCTAGCTCAAATACCAAAAGTTAGGATTCTAAAAGTTGGGATTCTGCTACTTTAATTAGATAAATCTGTTCTCCCTGAATGCCAATGCTAGGGTAATAAGGCTGATTCTAAAAAAAGGTGACATCCATGGTATGGTAAAATTTCTTGGTTTGAGGTGAATAACATTTATACCCCCTTTGTTGGGAAGAATAGCCGAGGAAAATACATTTTATTGATTTTAGGTCAAGTTTGCTACGACGACGATGAAGGTTATGGATAAAGGCTGAACATCCAAATATTTTCAAGGGAATGGATGTAAGGATACGACTGATGATAAAAAGGTTTACCCAATCATATGGAGTGGACTATGAAAAGATGTTTGCACTAGTGGCCAAACTCAATTCAATCTGAGTTATACTCTCTTTAGCTGTAAATTTAGATTGGTCATTTTATCAACTAGACATCAAGAATGTCTTCCTACACGGTGAACTAGAAGAAGTCTATATGCAAATTCCTCCGGGACTTGAATCATCAAAAACCTCAAACATGGTGTGTAGGCTCTGAAAATCTTTATATGACCTTAAGCAAACTCCAAAAGCATGGTTTGATAGATTGACTCAGGTTGTCAAAGAAGATGGATTCAACCAATGCCAATCAGATCACACGATGTTTGTCAAACACTCCACAAAAGGGAAGGTAGCCCTGTTCATTGTTTATGTTGATGATATCGTTTTCATAGGAGACAATTATGATCAAATCAAGCATTTGAAGAGACTTTTAACCAAGGAATTTGAAGTTAAAGACTTGGGCTAGCTCAAATACTTTTTAAGGATAGAAGTTACTCGGACGGAAGATAATGTATCACAAAGGAAATATACACTGGACTTACTTCAAGAAACTGACATGCTTGGGTCCAAGGCAGCCAATACTCTCATAAAACCAGAAAAGAGAGGTGAAGAGGAAAGTCCACCTACTGATAAAGATAGATATCAAAGGCTAGTTGGAAAACTAATTTACCTAACTCACACCAGGCCCGACATTGTGTTTGTTGTCAGTCTGGCTAGTCGCTATACATCTAATCCAACTGAGGCCAACATGAACATGGCAAACAGAATACTCCAATACCTCAAAGGTACACCAGGTCGATGACTCTACTTCAAGAAGAACTCAAACATAGGTATTGAAGTCTATACTAACTCAGATTGGGTGGGCAGGATGTCCCTTTGATAGGAAATCAACTACAGACTATTGTTCCTTTGTGTGTGAAAACTTGGTGACTTGGAGAAGCAAGAAGCAACCTATGGTGGCAAGGAGTAGTGCATAAGTTGAATTCAGAACTATGACTCAAGGCATCTGTGAAGGAATCTAGCTTAAGAGGATTTTAGATGAAATCAAAATTCCTATCAATTACACTATGAGAATAATGTGTGACAACAAAACTGCTATAAGCATAACAAAGAACCCAGTTCACCATGATAGGACAAAACATGTAAAAAATGATTGACACTTCATTAAAGAAAAAATTGATCATGGTATTATGAGTGTTGACTATGTTCCATCATGCAGACAAATAACAAATATCCTAACAAAGACTCTTCTAAGAAACACATATGAAAACATTAGATCCAATCTGGGTATGATAAACATCTATCACCCAGATTGAGGGGAGTGTTGGAAATCAAGTACTATCAATTAGAATAATTTAATTATGATAGGATTTAATGATAATATAATAAATTTTATTTCGTTATTTATGCACAGTTATGTACAACATTTATAGGGAGAAAATTTCTCTAATTTTCAGGGATAAATTAGTTTATAGGTTTATTACCTTGTATTCTATTTATACTTTTGTATCTTTTCCAAAATAAGAAATATATAACGTATTTTCCACATTTTCTCTTTAGTCATTGTCTTGCAAAGCCGACGACTCATCTCCTTTGATAAAACCAATTGTTTTTTTTTTTTTTGCCAAGAAAGGAGAATGAGAGATCTCAAACACATGTAAACTTTAAGACAAAGGGAAGATACCTATGTAAATTTTAAGATTTATCACCCAGAATTATAATTTTAAGAGAATGAAAGTGTTAAACACAATATTAAGTTTCCTAAGCATTTGGTCATGCTTGGCCGCATTGGTCTCAAGCTCTTTTAACTAGCATTTTGAAAATGAGGTTTGTCGTACCAATACAAAGGAAAACCTTTTACTAAAAAGGAATCAAATTTAGGGGCACAAATCTTAAGGAATCTACCTTTAAACTGTTTATAGAAAGATTGAAATAAAATCAATAAAGCTCGACTAGACACTATGCTAATTGAGGCCTAAGTAGTTTGTTTGGAAGCTTTGAAAAAAAATATTAAAAAACATGTTGGAGCTTGGTATGAAACCAAAGTGAGCACAAAGAATGTTGAAAGCCTAAATAAAAACCCAACTATTAGGGTGAAATTAGGTCAGGACTACATTCATCACTGTCAAAAGTTCCTTCTTAAAAATGTTAAGGGATAAACACAAGTCTAATTTAATAAATAAGGTATCATACACAAAAAAGAAGGGCTTAAGATCATTTTCCTAGTCCTTACACACAAGCTCGTTAGGTTACAAACCTAAATAACCAAATGTTTTTCATTCCCTGATCAATTAAAGGCTTGGATATCTCGTAAACATTTCAACAACTTAAGGGTAGTATAACCAAGGTCTCATGCAAAATCTCACTTTTAATCCAAGGATATGTTTCGTCAACAACTTTGACAACACTCTTGTCTGCCATTTCCCCAATATTATCACAGACTACAAAAAAATGCTATAAACCAAAAAAGATGTACAAAAAAGACTCAAAAACACAAAAACAAACAAAACTCAACCCCAATAGTGTAGCAAAACAAAGATGTTTTAGAAGACAACAAAATAAGGATTAAACAAATACATATAGCTAAACACACAAAAAAGGGGATAATTGAGGGATTTGAAGTGTACCTAGTAGAAAAAATAAGTTGAAGAAGAAAAGCATAGCAAGAAACATTTTGAATACAGAAAGGGAGATTTTTGGAGAAGAAGAGACATGACTAAGGAGTTTAAAAGCTTGCACGTACACATCTTGTGTAAATGTGAGAAATTGTGATATTTAAATTACAATGATTCATACTTTTATTGATATAAAGTAAAAACTCGATCACAAGATCGATCCATCATAAGAAGGTAATAATATCACATCAGTATATTTCTCCAAGTACTATTTCATAGTAAAAACCTTAACTTTGGCTAACTTGAGAATAAGGAATTGTGTTATGTTCAAGCCCTCAACCTCGTTTTATGTTTGATCATTAATGAATTCTTATTTCACATTTAAAACTTAGACATTATTGAGACTTGAGATTAAGAAGTTGTGTTACACCTTAGATTAGGGGTTGACAAATATCTAATTTTAGTTTTATAATCTAAACCTCAATATATTTGAACTCTAGACAAAAAAAATTATGGTACAATCAAACTTTTAATTTTAATTGATATCTAACCATATTGATTGGTTATAGAACGTTTATCTTTAGTAATTAATCCATCAACACGAAAATCACTCCTTCCAAAATTTTCTTCCAATATTCTCAACCCAAATCATAGATATAAATATAAAGTGATTTAGTACACTTTAAAAAGACAAATTCTTACAATGTTATCCTACTAAAATTTAACCTTATCCCAAATATCTCCATAGCATTTTTTTTCACTCAATCAAAACCAACTAAATTTTTTGACTAGATATTATATCTCGTATAATCTCTATACTATTTAATAAACACATGTTAAATAATATATATATATATATATATATATATATATATATATATATATTTTAGAACATAAAAAATATATTTATATTATTTTCTAGAATGTCCCGAACTGAACTCCAATTGAAGGAAAAGGAACCTTCGTTGATTCCACAACTGTCTTCTCTTTGTCACGGAGACTAGAAAGAAAATAAGAGATTCTAGAAAGAAAGTGAGAAACATCGTGGTATTAACGTTAACAAAAGAACATTATCATATTTTAATACTAGAAGCCAACTATATATCACTCTCTCAGCGTTTTACCTTCAACATTTCCAAAAACACTCCTCTCTTCTTTTTTCAGCATTGTTCACTGTGGTTTACAGTATGAACCGCTCCGTATTTGAGTTCCCTGCAACAATTTCTTCCAGGGATGTGGCCGACGACGTCGTTTTCTGCGGCAAAGTCATAACACGCAGAACCGAACCCGGTCCAGCTCCGCAACGCGAAAGCGAAACACGGGTTCTGTTGAGGTCCGAGTCTTCGGGTCGGACCAACCACTTATCTGCATTTCTCCGGTCGCCTTCTGGGAGGGAATTCCGGTGCCGGAGAAGCGAGAGCTGCCGGAAGCGTTACAACGGAATGTTTGGGACGGTGAAGTTTCCGCTGCAAATGGAACTGAGTGACATTAAGACAAGATGGGAGCGGAAGGAAGCTCTTCCGCCACCCCCGTCAGTGTTAACGGCGAAGGACGACAGCGACGGCAGAGAAAGTTGCTGGGAACTTGTTCGGCCGTTGAGGCGACGGGGAATGCTTAAGAACGCTTTATTTACTTGCCTTCCCATTGTTTAGTTTAGGATTTTTTTTTTCATTCTTTTTTACTTCTCTTTTCTCGTTCCTTTCTCTCTTTTATTACGAATATCTTTATATATAATGTACAGGATATTTATTATATATATATATATATAAATAAATAAAGTGTAATTTTTTTCACATGAGATAATACAATAATTAATAGTAATTAAAATAATAATATAATTAGAAATTTTCAATGAAGAAATAGTCAACCTTCTTATGAAAAAGAACAAATAATTATATTTTTTTCTCGCAGAATGGCAAGAAAAAATTTGCACCTACTCATTAATATATGTGTAGAAGTGAAACGAATCCATTCATAACAAATTCAAGTAGGAAACTTCTAGTAAACCCCCAAAATAAAGTTTGAATATATTTTTGATTTTTTAATTTTTCATGAAGCTTGATTTTGTCTCTATATTTAAAAGTCAATTGATTAATTTTTAAGTTTCAAAATATAATTTAATCATTTATTAGTTTGATGGTAATATTAAATATTAAATTTGAATATAGAAAATTACTAAAATAATATATTTTATAAATTTATTTATTTTATGAATTTTGTAACAGTAAAAAAATTATAACTAAATGTTAAATTTAGATAATAAAAAGTAAATTTACATTTAAAGAAAAAATAAATGAATTTATTAATTTAAAATAAGAATTTGAAAATAACTAAATGGACAATATTATTTATTTTGATTTAGTTATTGTGGGCGCGATAATTTTAAAATCGGACCAGAGAGTTTAATATTTAAAAATTTAATAGAATTTTAATTTGATGTGACTAAATTTAATAAAATATTATTTTCATAATATAAGAAATTTAATAATAATAACATTTTAAAAATAATAATGAAATTATCATAATTATAATAAAAATTATAAATATAAAATATGTTAAAAAATAAGATAAATAATAATTAAAATAAAATATAAATATAAAAAATTAATTTAATTAATAAAAAAATTAATATATATGTAATTATATTAAAAAAACCTTTAAAAAACCAATTTCATTTAAAACCCTAATCGATTTTATTTGAACCGATTGATATCATTTTTAACTAGATTAATTGAACCGATTGATATTATTTTTAAAAGAGTATATATGAAAAAAATAACATGTCAAATATCTTAGAAATTTTGTTTATACACACTAATCTTAGCTCAATGACATTCTTAGAATTTACTCAGTGTACTTAGTATATTTACGTTGCTTTAATTAAAGATATTTTTTGAAATTATCTAAGTAAAACATAATAAAAATAAGATTAAAAATTTAAATTGGTCCAATTCGAACTAAAACAAATGAGTTATATTTAAATTTAAATTTATTGAATGAATAGTGATCTAACAAAAAAGAATTGATAGATTTTTTTTTTCAAAATTGATTCAATAGATTCTATTAAAAGTCCTATAAAATATGCAAAGAAATTTATAGCAAAAAACAAAGTCCATATTTAGAGTATATTCGAGAAAAATATAATTATAAAAATTTTCAGCTAGTTTTATATATGTATATAAAAAAACTATTTAAAACTTTAGTTGTAAAAAGATTTTTTTACAAAAATATATGTGTTTTTTTAATATAAAAATTGATTTTTTAATATCCAAATATAATTCATTACCAATTGTATTTGTACTCAAAATCAATTATCAATTATATATACATATAATAAATTACTAAAACAATTTAATTTCCCCGTAAAAAAATTAATTTTCATAACTATACAAATCTCTGTTAATATTTGAATATTTATTATCCTCTGTGATAAAAATTATACAAAAAAAATGATATAAAACAAAAATATAAAATAAAACTATCTTATTATATTTTATAAAGTTAACAGATTTAATAAAATACTCAACAAATACGCAATAATAATGAATTAGAATGAAAGGGAATAGGGCTCAACCTGGAAAATCATAACCAAACCTGACACACTGCACTGGTTGTTTTGTTCCTGTTTGGTGACGGATCTCTGTGACTGCGCAACCTCCTTTCGTTTCCATGGCTTCAGCGCTTCAGAAATTGCTTCGAAAACCACCACCACTAACCTTCAAATTCATCACTGCCTTCAACCCTTCTTCACCACTCCAAAACCCTATTCTCAGTGTCCCCCCACAGTGTCACCCTCAACCCTCTTCCTCAAGCCACGCATCGCAGCCCTTCGATACCTCCAACGTGATCTTTCCCAGTTTCCCTTTTGGGTTTTTTCCAAAACCCGTTTTTGAAAGTGGGTTTCACTCCCTCGATGATGAGGTGAGAGAAGATTCTGGAACCGTCTGGGCGGACAGCGTGAAGAAGAAGCGGAAGCGGAAGATGAACAAGCACAAGTACCAAAAGCTTAGGAAGCGCATGAGGAGACAGAGCTAGAAGGTGAGGGTTCGGTGGTTTTGATGCCCAACAGAAAAAAAAAAGGCATTGAACTTGATGAATTATTTTTTCTTTATTTTATTTCAGTGAAAGAGGGATGTTGTCTTTCTTTCAATTAGTTCGTAGTGAGAGGAGAGTTGAAGGGGAGAAGAGATGTTTAAAGTTCTATGACAATTAGTTTTGGAGTCCAATTGTTTTGGATTTCTCTTTTGACGACTTTTGGTTAATATAAATGTTGTTATTGCACTTTATTTGATACTTATTAGCTTAAAATAAATAATGCATGCGATGACAATCCAAGTACAAATCATTGTGTATGATAATTATGTTGATTTTTGTGGTGGCTACCCCTTGGTTTAGTGCTTTTGTTTTTAGATGGACGAGGTTTACTCCTTTGTTTTTGTTTTATCTTTGCAAAGACATGGATGTGGTTTCCTTATTGTACCTGGTACAGAATAGGATTGAATTTAGAATCTCTTTGGATAAAATTTTCCATAAGCACTTCCAAAAGAAAAAAGAAAAAATGAAGTAGTTTTCTCATAAGGTAAAATTAGTTTATACATAATTGGTCTGTAGAAACTTTCTCATGTTATCTTCTCTTAAATTCGGTTTTTAACTCATGAGTCATGCATTATGATTTTAGTTTATAGAAAAACTTATTTCATTTTGATTTTCTCTGAGAATAACCTATGGAGAAGTTTATCTGAACAAGTCTTGCTTATCGGTAACAACTTTTGACTTTATGTGCTGCTATTCAATAGGGGAACCGATTGTTCTTGCTCTGTGATCACATTTGAAGTCTCCATTTTCATTTAGGACTAAGCAGTTGAGTACATGGATCAATGAGGAGAAAATTCTTCTTTCTTTTCTTTTCGTTATGCTGTACTTTTAGATAAGTGCCACTTTGTGTAGGAAAACGGTAGGAGTTATATCTAGATTTGTGCATATTATCATGTATCTTATGACACCAACAGTTGAAGATGAGGATCTGATTCATGGAATGACACCTCCTATGTATGTTGTGTAGGAATCACAACCACTATATTTGGATGGGGAAAAGGCGTTTTGGAAGAGTATTGAATCTCTGACATCAACGTTAGCTCAAATTATGAAGATTTGGGTTGGTGCTAATTGAGATAGAAGCTTGTTGGTGTTTTTGGTTAAATTAAGTCTGTCTTCTTTCTATTAGAGTTCTGTACTTAAACTTTCAGCCACAGGAAGTTCTCAAGTTAACAAGAATACAATGTGTTATATTTTTCTTTGTTTTAACCTTTGATTTGACTTTGCAGCTTGATGTTTTCAGAGCAAGTAACCTTATCCAGTTTTCTAGTCTTTTAAAATTCAATAAAAAAAATCCAAGCTGATGGATAACGTAGAAGCTTTCTTTGTGTATCAAGTAACAGTTTTAGTATTCGAGTCTTAGAAATCTGTATTATTTAAATGTATTACAAGCTACCCAAATTGTTGTATTTGATAACTTATAATTCAATATCATTACAAGTCTATGTAATTCAATATAGTTCAGAGGTCAATAATTGTCTTACTTAAGAGTCTAGTCAGTTCTAGAATAATATATGGGGTGGGGGGTCTATAAATTATGATTCTCAATGTAATTTTAACAGATTGAGAATTTGGTGAACTATGTTCAGTATCATCTCTTCTGGTGTTTCTTTTAGATTTGAGATAGATTGTTGTCATATTTGATTTCTTTCCTCTTAAGGAAACCCTTTATCTATCCTATAGAGGTACCTATCCTATTGCCATAATTACCTTGTGTTTTAAACCCTAAACTTAAACTAATTGCTGACCTGCATCTCAAGAGACTGGTCGTTGAAAGAATAAAACACAACTTTGATGACACTAATGTGTGATATTCTGACACAGTAGCTGCCCTTTTCTTATCTTTAGTGTTTTGTTGAGTTTGATGCTCTGTAGTTTTACTTCACTCTTGTTTCACCTTTTCACTACTCTAGCAGAAGTATATGTACGACTGTTTGAAATTTGTAACAACAGAGGAAAATCCCATTGAAAATTATAGATCTGCATCATGCATGGATAATTTCGTTCAGGAAACTGTTTTATTTATTTTTTATTATTCAAATTTTAGTACAATTATTGAATGTTTATGTTTTGAAACCATAAAATGGAGAATGTAGATCCAATAAGGGTGCTTTATTTTGATGTTTGAATGGTACTTGTGAAATCTGATACGTGTGTTTGGATTGTTTATGAAAAATTAAAGCAAAATATTGAGATTAAATATTTTTAGGTATTTAGGTTACTCCATTAAAATATGATGTCAAATGTTGGAAAATTTCAAAGGAAGAGATGAAAACTTAATTCAGGAGTGGAAATAGATAACCCAGGGATTGCACCAAGAGTCCCTGCACAATACACCTATAATGGAATTGCAAAAGAGTTCTAGGTTTTGGAACCTCTTAAATATGCTATTTTTATATTGATTTGAAAGAACTACATTGATATTCTGTCTATTGGTAACCTTAATTCTATGAAATATTAGATTCCTTATGAACACAGAATAGTCTATGAACTACACTATTGAATTCTGCTTAAAATATAAGTTTAGTCCTGAATCTACAGCCATAACGAAATTCTGATTTGAAGAAACCCAGAGAAGTGAAACAACTCAGCCCACATTCCAAGAATGACCTCGTATTTAAACTCTGAAATTATCTGAAGTAAAAAAGCAAAATATACTGAAAGGTTACTTCACATTGCTCTAGTGAGTCATTCTCTCCTAAGTTTACTCAAGAAAAAAAAATTAAAAACCTTAAATGGACTCAAACAAATTGTGATTAATCTTTATACAGTATAGAAGTTTAACATATATATATATAGCACAGACAGTAGTATCTCTGTATTTTTTTTTTGTTGGTTGACTTTAGGTCAAATTCCAGAAAATCATTGTATTTAATAGAACATGCTGAAATGGTTCCTTTTTATGATTAAGTAAATGGAGCCTAATATATTGGATCTATAATGTGTCTGCCACTCTGCTAGTGTGCTTGAAAGTTATCAAATATTTTGTAGTAAAATACTTGTTGCAAATTTAACCAGTAATGTTTCTTAAGAGTATGAATTTTGACTCCACTCAATTCTACAAACCTGTCCTATTTATACACTCTTTCTAGGCTGTCTAGGTGATGTGGGATTTGGGCTTTTTCTAATTTACTCACGTTCAGTTGAGTTTGGTATGCGTATAATATGGACGGTGACCCTTTGAATGGATCTAAGATAGATTCTGAAATTATTTTAGAATGTGAATTTAGACCTAACTTAACCTCAAAATTGACTTTAGAGGATGAAGATTATTCCCTCTTCTATACTCTTGTTAGACGCTATCTCTAACTAACGTAAGTCTTAGGTTGTCAATTGTCATTTTGAATCTGAATGATGAAATACTCGAAAATATTTATTGGTATCTATACGAGTTTGTAAATCCTGTTGATTATAAGCACAGGAATCGATAGCAGGAAAATAAACGCGCTATAAACAGTTTACTGTCGCAGAGTAGCCCCTCCAAGTGCCCCTAAAATTTCATTGTATAGCAGCAGTAGTGGCCGCCATCACGCCTGGGTTGGTGAGGTTTTGAAGCTGTAGCGGGCATGACCCTGTTGCAGTGCAGAAACCACCCTTTCTGGGCATGAAGTGGTGTCTTTTGGTGTAGTTTAACAGGGGTAATGTTGTTATTCTCTCCCCTTTTTATTTAAGCATAACAGACTACAGAGTCATAAATCCTATTGTCCATTGTCACTTGCCCGAACACTGAGCCTCCACCCTTCACATCCATGAAGACCCCCCTTTTTCCCATCTCTGGCTATGTATGCTGCTGTCATCTGTGCAGGGTTTTCTGGCAAACTCTTCTTTGTGTTAAGCTCACCAGTGACCATTATAGCTCTGTTCCAGCCATTCTCTGTTTTGTTGTTACCTGTTTAGATACATCAAAGTCTGAAACAGGTCTTCTAAGTTTTACCTCTCTGCTCTGACTTTTGTGCTCTCTAGTTCTTCTAAATGCTATTCTACCTTATTTTTTCTGTAATTGGGTATTGTCTTCCCAGTTGAAGGACTGTGATTGATGGCTTCATCCACTCAACCACAGGGATCAACGCACCGTTGCCTGTCTCTGTAATAATCCCTTCTTGTACGCTAACAACTTGACATTTATCCTAGTTCCCAAATTCTGACTCAACCATTAATTATGAAAACGTATCAGTTTTACGTTTTTTTAAACAATTTTCAGCAAATGGAGGGGCATAGCTAGAGATAATAGTTTTCATATAGGAATATGAGAATTGTCTCTAGGTCATACAACTATAAATAAATTTATCAAGATCAAAATCTTATTTCTTATGAAAACCAATATTTCTCTTCGTATCTATGTTTTCAGCTCAGCTTCTGAATAGTGATTATTCTGCTACCTGATGTACACTATTTTTGATTGGCTACTTGATTGTAACTCCAAAACTAACATTCTATTTATAATATTGCTAAAATTGCGATTTCTACTTAAAGACTTAATCAACAACTTTAACTTCGTTAGAATTAAAAAACTAAAATTACAGAAAAAAAAATAAATAAAAACTGTAGAATGAGTAATTTATAACTCAGCCAAAGCTATGAGTATTGTACTACTAATTACTCAAGTTCATAATTACATGGACTATAGAAAGAGTTAAGTATAAAAGGGAAACTATCAAAAGCAGATGCTGATGATGACATGCATTAGATTACAGAGAAATTTGCTCTGGAAACAATCTAATTCACCATTGAGTTGAGTTCAATTTTTTTTATTTTTATTGATTATGGATTAAAAATGAATTCGACTCATATCATTTATGGGTTAAACGGATTCGAGACGAGTTATGGTGAGTTGACTTATAACCCATTATTAATTTTAAATTTTAAAAATAGTTATAATAATATATTAATTTTAATTAATAATTTATTTTAATTTTAAAAATAATTATAATATTTTAGTA